AATCAGTTATACACTGGGTTCTTTGTTTATAAGCGGAATTTCATTCCGCTTATACCCAAGACACCCAGTATATAACTATTACATATAGGTGATCCCGCTAATAAAATATAAAAGTTAGACTTCAAATCATCTTTTAATATGCAATTATTATTAAAAAATATAGAAATTGTTTATAAAAAAAATTTTTTTTTTTTATTAACAAGATGTTTTTTTTTTTTTTTTTACTTGAATTTATGAATACAAAGACTAACGGTGTTCAAAACAAATTTTGCTGATCACTATCGTATTTAGTATATAAACAATCGTCATCCATTCACGTTTAAGCAACAAGTACCGTTACTTTTATTTATTGGGTTATATATTATATCGGAAGCTAACTAAATTATTTTCTCACATAACGGGTGACTTAAATGTATGATTAGGAAAGATCGTAGATGTCACGTATCTTCCGATTCCGACAATTGTACAAAGTAAATAAATCTTTTCAAGATTAATAGAAGTTATAAAGTTCCGCAATGATACGGTATATATATATATCATAACTTGTAAGATCTATTGCCCTCTCTTTGTTCTTTTAAACTTAACAATCGTACATACCAGATATGGATTGGGATTCTACCAAACGAGATTTGGAAAGGGACTATACTTTCCAAGATGTGGATAAGTCTCAACAAGGCATGTATAGGCCTCAACAATACATGACAAGACCTCAACAAAACATGAGAAGGCCTCGAGATAAGCAACCTAGAGTTAAGGAAGCCTGCTATGGCTGCTTTAAAAGGCATTGTAAATGTAACAACATCAAACCATGCGAACGTTGTAAAAAAATTGGCCTTCCTTGTACTACTAAACGCACGAAATCTTCCTCAGAGGCGAACTTGACTATAGAAAGTAAGTGAAAACTTTTGTACTTGTAAATTATTGTCAAACGATAAGATTGCTGGATCATAACAACTTAGAAAGTTTAAAATCAAATGAGTTAGTGATTCTGTGGAATAATTTTATTCATTAGTCTATAATCCAACAATGAATAAAATAAATCTTTAACCTAATATTTATGCTAACTCGATATTTACTTACCATTATTAGATGGAAGCCTATTAAAAGGTAATATCGGAATATAAATAAAGGAATAAGAAATTTAACATATTCTTAATAGGAGGAATTCCAGGTCAAGCTAACGGTTTTAAATTATTAGTTGGCGTTGATGTATCGGCACTATCTTTTGACGTAACAGATGCACTCTCTACTGACGTAGCTGAATCATCATTAAGAGGTTAGAGCTAAAACCATCATATGATAGAATAATAGTATTCAATTTTTTTTTTTTAAAAAAAAAACTTAGCCTATCAAGATAAACCAACCATGGACATGGTCTCAAATGGTAAGAAAGTGCAGTTGTCGTTAAATACTCTTTATATAATAACAAGTAGGTCGAGAACATTGAAGGTGGTTTCATAAGCGAATTTTTGAGATATGGGCGTTTTTCAATAGAAATCTGCTTTTTTGCTAAAAATTTTTTTAAATAAAGCATTAGCGTTAGGGCTTTTTTTTTATTTTCGTTACACGAAATTGACTCAACTTTGTGAACATATTAAAGTTCTGGATAGAGATGTAGAAGAATCTTCCCAATGATTGTCGTAACTTGCCGTAACTATAGTAGATAATATGGTAAGTATGCGGCTATAATGCCGCATACCTACTATATTATCTACTATAGTTACGGCAAGTTACGACAATCATTGGGAAGATTCTTCTACATCTCTAGTTCTGGACAAACTTTCTGAAATTCTGAATTCTGTAATCAATCAATCGACTATACATATTGTTATTATCATAGTGCTTTAATGGCTCGCTCACTGTGCATTGTGTGTCCATATGATAACTCATATAAAACAAATATGTACTATGACATCTTTGAATAGTAAAATAATTCGATGCTTGTGAAACTTAAATTTTATAGTTTTTTTTTTCTTTAGACCCGCTCAAAATTTTTGTCAATTTAGTTTAGAATTAAAGGATGCAGTAGAAACTTTTATAGCTTGTCATAAACTAGTTACGATATATGCTTTAACTAGTTATGGTGTAAGCTGTAACAGTTTCTACTACTTCTCTAGTTTAGAATACTAAAACTTTTTTTTTAAATAAAAATAGAAAAAAAATGTAACGGTAAATCCATAATAAAAGAACTAATATTTTTTGTATAACGATAAGTTTTAATATACGTATTTGGAAACTATTTTATTGTCTACGTACGTATATTAACGTTAATTACAAATTGCATTATATCCGGTTTTTCAACCAGTGTTAAAATATATCAATATTAGTTATATTATGCACTTAGTATTATTTGATCCCTTGATTGTAAATACGTTAATAAATAATAATAATGAATTCATTAATAACATAAATAAAAATAAAATGCATTCAAATTAATCCATTGTTTAAAGTTTTTATCGTCATACGTATAAATATTTTTTAGGCACCTATCGGATTTGCACCTGTAATCGCATTTTAAATAGTAATGATTTACTGTTGTCGCGAGCGGAAATGTCGCCAACCAACCAACAACACCAAATAACTAAATAACCCAAGTTATTAAGGTTCTCTCGGCCGAGCAAGATAAATCTCTTTCTTATCTTTCATTCTTCTCGGGTGACCTCCAACTAATGAAGATTCGGGTTCAATAATGCAAGGGTGCTCGTCACACGAATATCGACGGTGAATCACGGCTTATTGGTTCAGTACTAGGGCTGTAAACCAAACTATTTGGGACAACCCAAACTATGTGACAATTAATTTCACATGGTTTTTACAATAAGTAAAAAGTTGTAAATACCTAGTATTAGATACTAATTGTCACTTGGTTCTGGCTGTCTCACATAGTTTGGTTTACATCCCTAGTCTAGACCTAAGGTTAGAGTATAATTTAGGCTGATTTTGTTAGTGCTAGTAAACAAAATAACATCATGTAGATCACTGGGTTATGTCCCTGAGTTTTGATATGACTATTGAGTTTTAATATGAGTTTTGAGTTCTGATATGAGTTTTGAGTTCTGATATGAGTTTCGAGTTTTGATACAAGTTTCGAGTTTTGATACAAGTTTCGAGTTTCGATACAAGTTTCGAGTTTCAATATGAGTTTCGAGTTTTGAGAAGTTTCAAAAATAAAATTTTGTCAAAACTAGTTTTGAGACAGTTTCGATATCAATGCTCTCGAAAGTTTCAAGTTTCAAGAGGTATTATTACTAGGATTAGCATAGTGTTAGTCAATTTTTGTCAGGATTTTGTTTGTTGAGATATCCCCTAGTACATTGTTACTAAAAATCACAATATGCCAACTTTTCAAAAGAAAAAGCAATTGAGTATATTTCTACATATTTTCAGGGTACTATAGTGTTGGGGCATTATAGTATCATGGTATTACGGCATTTAAGTTTTAAGATAAAAAGATCTTATGCCATAATTAATTCTACTATATAGTATAATGATATAATGCTATGATTCATTAATTCTGCTATTAACTATAATAAATCTGAATAAGATCTTTTTTGTCTCTATAGAAATTTTTGTTAATTATGTAACTTGAAATCATAAGTTTATTTAATATTCCTTTTTAAATTAAATCATATGTGATTTACTGCTACTGAAGAACAGCTCAATTATTACTTCAGAAGAGGTATAGTAATTATGAATTAATCTATAAACTTCACAAAGATAATTCTACTATGCAACTTAGTAGAATATCAGGAAGGAATAATTAAGAAAAATGTAGGTTAGGTAATAGGAATTATTTAATAAAGAATTCTATTATTTATAAAAGCAAACTTGTAAGTTGTTTTTCTCTATAAGCCTACATAGCTTTTATTTATAATATAAAATTTGTATACAAGTTATGCTATTTACTACAGATCTGTTATTTATTGCAAATATGTTATATATCTAATATATAGTATTTAATCTATATACTCTATAAATGAAATATATGCTATATATTGCTTAAATAGAATATATATGATATATAACAGATATGCAATATATAGATATGCAATAAATATAATTTATACAATCTACTCATAATCATATTATAGATCTGTTCTGAGCTCAATTTCCTAGCCTCATATTCCTCCTGTACTTAATTTATGCATACTATATATAAATAATACTAGGTGTCCTATAGGCAGTTATAATTCTTGAATCAAGTAGATAAGTAACTTCTTAATTTTTTTGCCTTGAACAACTTAGATGACTTAAATACTACTGTATATCAGATATCTTAAATTTGAAACTATAATTACTACAGTATATCAGATAACTAAAACTTTATTAATAACCACAACTAATTACAATATGTTGGGCTAGTTAGACTTAAAGACCACAGTTAATCATAGTACATCAAGATTAGCTGAACAAGTAATTAGATAAGTATTATATGAACAAAGATTATACTGTTATGTTACTTTAACAATAAATCAGGATTGGAAGTTATTCTTCAGTTTAAATATGTTTACTGTAATAAGTATATATTAGATTTACAATCTCTGATCTTCCTAATTGTGTGACTACTTTATTGTTTTTACCTGTCTCTTCTCCTTTTGTGCAATACTTATTAAACTCACCAGTACTAGGCTATGTCATATAACTTACAGATCCCTCAAGTTGGTATTCTTAACTCTGAATCTAATCATCATCAACATTATGGTATTAGGGAAGTTATCGAATCTACTGTTCCATCTCACAGTGTTACATATCACATCTTAGTTATCACCAAATGCAAATAGGCAGTTTGGTCACTGGGACCAAACAGATCTTATAATCAATCAGCAACCAGACAACTATATCAAAAGAGATGATTAGATTTGGCAGACAGATGTTCTAAAACTTAGGTCATCTTTCCTACTACTGAGAGATGGCTCAATTATCACTTCGAGGGGTACAGTAATCATGAATTAATCTATGAACTTTGCGAAGATAATTCAACTATGCCACCTAGTAGAATATCAGGAGGTAATTAAGGAAAGTGTGGGTTAGGTAGTAGGAATTATTTAATAAAGAACTCCATTGTTTATAAAAGCGAACTTGGGAGTTGTTCCTCTCTATGGGCCTACACGGCCTTTATTTATAATATAAAATTTGTATACAAGTTATGCTATTTACTACAGATCTGTCATTTATCGCAGATATGCCATATATCTCATATATGGCATTTAATCCATATATTCCATAAATGAGATATATGCCATAAATTGCTTAAACGAATATATGGCAGATATGTAATATATGGCATAGATGCAATATATGCGATTTATTCAATCTACTCGTGATCACATTATGGATCTGTTCCGAGCCCAATTTCCCAGCCTCACAGTATATAAAATATTCGGAAATGTCACTTTTTGTCTTGGACAGCATACAGTAGCAGCATAACGGTGTTGTATATTTTGAATGCCCTTACTACATATAACCGGGACACTTCAAGAACAGGTAACCAAGTGATCTAAATGCCGTCATTTGTTTATTAACACTAACAAAATCGGCCTAAATTATATTTTAACCCTACCCTAACCCTAACTTGGGTCGAGTTTCCTGTTCTTGGAACTACCCAAACCAAGTTATCATTAATAAATTTTGAGATATTCAGTGTCAAATTCTGCCGAATTTGTCCAAGCTGAAACACTGCAATATACAGTAATTTTTTATGGCACGATAGACGGTAATATTTTGTAAATGCGTTCTTAAAAATTATGAATTAGCTCTGTACCTAGCTGCTAGCAATTGTTTGCGCCAGCCAATCAGATAATTCAATTACTTTTAAATGGATCCGATATTAACCTTTCAATCTTCATCCTAGAAAAGTTCATTTGATATCTTTATAATATTGATAGTTTAATACCTTAATCGACTATTTCAACTTTGTTAAAAGTGAATTTACTCTTTTTCAAAAGAACATAAACCTCAAAGAAGTTACTTTATTCCAGATAAAATATAATTATGATATATATGTACTACAAAATATGCGATGAATAATATATACATGATTTTAAATTCAATGTTACAAATTTACTGGTATAAAAATAATGAATATAGACTATAAAATAATTGTCATAAATATGTTTAAAAATTATTAAAAACAAGATTATAAAATAATTGTCATAAATATGTTTAAAAATTATGTGATGTCTTTTTCCAAGAGCCCCGGATATAATAAAAAAAATTAATACTACAAGGAAACAAAATATATAATACAAAAAAAAAACAAGTATTTGCAAATAATGAAACAAGAAAATGCATTTATACACATTGTAGTATTAAATCTGATTCTAAAAGGCCAAAACATGCAAATTTTAAATTTATCATATAAATAAAAAAAATATATAAATTGGGTTAATCATGGATAAACCTATGTTTAAAATCAATTTTAACATTATTATGCCTCGTAAATAAGTAATTCTTTAACGGCAAAGTCATTTGCAAAAGGTTCTTCTTTTACATCCAAAGCCAATTCCAAATCATCCCATGCCTCATCGTATCGACCAACAACATCTCTTAAAATAATACTTCTTTCACATAACGCGAAGAAATTCGTTGGGTCTACTTCTAACACTTTATTAAGATCATCAAGCGCATTTTGATATTGTTCCATAGATCTATAAAGAGCTGCACGATGTTCATATGCTTTTATTCGACACCATGTGTTTAACGCATTTGTTTGTTTGGATTTTATTGCATTATTCAAATCCAACATTGCTTCTTTATTTTTTTTCAAACCTCGATATATTGCTCCACGCATCATAAGCACAAAACACATGTTTCCACAATTTGGTGCTGAATGCGCTGCATTAATATCTTCTAATGCTTCATCATAGCGTTCAATCGCATGATATACTTCTGAACGAATACAAAGTGCGAAGAAATTTATGGGATTTACGCTTAAAGCATTGTCTAAATCGTTTAGAGCTTCTTCATGTCTTAAAAGTTTGAAAAGAATTTGTGCTCGATTTTCTAAACCTTCTACATTTTTTGGTGAAATTTTTAATACTTGATTCCAATCTGTAAGTGCTTCTTGCCATTTTGATGAGATTTGAAAAGCTTTTGCTCGATGACTTAAGATTGAAATGTCATTTTCTGGTTTAAATTGAACTGCTAAGTTATAATCCTGTAATGCTAATTGATACTGTCCTAATTTAACATATAAAGAAGCTCTAAGATCTAATGCCTTTGCATTATGTCCATCAATTTCTAATGCTTGTTTTAGATCCTGAAGTGCTTCTTCTGAATGATTCATCATAATATAGGTTTCTGCTCGATCACAATAAACATTTACGTTATTCGGTTTAAGTGAAAGTGACTTTTCAAAATCTGCAAGTGCTTTACCATACTCTTTAAGCATTGTCAGTGCTCTTCCACGATGCCTGTGAGTGGATGCATGCCCTTTATTATGTCTTTCGTCCCATAATGATTTAAATGATGCGTCAAAGTCTTCTTTTGCTGCATTATAATTATTTAATAAAAGAAGAACTTTACCACGATTTCGGCGTAAACGCGCGTTATTCGGATTAGTATTGATCGCTTTGTTCAAATCAATTAACGCAGCATCATAATTCAGAAGCATACGATAAACTTTGGCACGATTCAACAAAGCGATAATGTTTTTGGGTTCATTGTCCACAACAAAATCTAAATCAATTAAAGCATTTGAATACTGTTTCATGTTACGTAACACTTCACCACGGTTTACACGTGATATAATATCAAGTGGATTATCGTTTAATATTTTGTTTAAACCATCCAACGCGTTATCATATTTTTTCAATAACGCGTAAACCTGATTACGTAAAGATTCAGCACTTTTGTCGGATGGGTCAATCGTCAATGCTTGATCTAAGTCAGATAGAGCTTCAGTAGGCTGTAATAAAATATGATATATTTCAGCTCTTTTTCTATAAGTCGAGGCCTTTCCGTCATATTTAATTGCCTCAGTATAATCCGAGAGCGCTTCTTGGTATCGTAACAAAGATCGATAAACTTTTGCACGATTTCGAAAAATTCTTGTAACATCTGAGTATTTTAATTTTAAAAGTTCATTAAAATCCTTCAATGCTTCTTCGTATCGGGCTTGGGAATGATAGACTTTTCCCCGATTTAAGAGAAGTTGAAGATCTTTTCGTTTTGATACACTCATTGCTTTGGTATAATCATTTAATGCCAAATCATACATTCCCCGTTGTTTAAATAAGAAACCTCTTGAACCTAGAGCATCTGGATTTTCTGGTTCAATATTTAAAAATGCATTAAAGTCATTAAGAGCGTCTAAATATCTTTGAAGTTTAATGTTTATCAGACCGCGTGCTTGTAAGGTCTTAGAATCATATGGTGAATATTTTAATACCCTATTAAAATATATCAAAGCATCAGTATAATTCTCTTCTAATGCCATAATCTCGCCATAAATTCTAGTTGCAATAATAAATTGTTCTGATATGTTCTCATTAGCACTTAATCGAAAGCCTTTATTTAAATCATTTTTCGCGGATTCATATTCTTTCTTATAATAAAACGTTTCACCTCTAAGTAATAAACCACGTGATTTTCCAGGATTGTTTTTAATTGCGTGATCAAAATCTTGTAATGCCTCAGTTAAATTTCCAAGTTTTTTCAGCGCAAAACCCCTATTACATCGAAGTGAATAGCTATTTGGATAGGATTTAATTAATCGAGTTAAGCAATCATTTGCTTCTTGGTAATGTCCAGACTCCAGAGCTTTGGACGCTTTGTAAAGATTAGGATTTAAAATTTTAGGAGGTTTAATAACGCCGGATAATTTTTTACGAGTTTTGGTGCTTGGATCTATATGGGTATTGTATGCCACCGCAGGAATTGGTAAAGGTGATATATTACCGAAACTACTGTCAATACTAGTGGGGCCAGACGAATGCATTATATTCAACATAGGATTGCAAGTATTCTAATTTAAAGGATAAAAAAATTTTTAAGTATTGTAATTCAATAACATATACTGTATAACTGTTTTACCTGGAGCCAAATATTCGTTTACTATGATTATCGTTATAAAAGGATGTTATTAGGCGTTACTAAACCTTCATGTGAATGACTGAAAAGGCGGCGTGGCAGACAAAAAAAAAAAGCCAATACTTTGAATTTCAAAAATGTATTTGAGTATTTATTTTAGTTACTTTTATCACAAATAAAACCTGTCTTACTATACTTGTACTTATTAATTGAAAGAAATACGGACGTGAGCTTCTATTTATCCGTATGTACAAGTAAATCCACCTTATTAGCTTTGACAAAGCGTCATGTATTTTTGCATGTCGGTTTGCATGAATACGTTTAAAATATACATATTTCTTAATAATTTAAACTTAATAAACTGCAATTAATTAAAGTATTCTTAGATGCATGTTGTCATTCTGTGTAAGAGAACCATACGGAATTTGTAGATGTACGATTTGTTTACAAATACAATTAAGCCATAACATTATTAGTTTGGGATTTTACTTTATTTTAATACCAAATTAAAATTATCGTTATGTAATAATTTTTACACAGGGTGAAACCCGAGTTGACTATGTAGATCACATGAGGATGAAATCCGCTTTTGTATAACAACGTATTTTACTTGTTTCTCCTTCTATATATATATATTTTTTTTTACTAAAATATAAGGTAGAGGGAGTAAAACGGCGAATGGGGAGTCGAACATATCACAAGAAAAACTTGACCTTTCGCAAAGTAAATAAAATTTCGACCATAAGTAAAGTTGTTCGAAATACCGATTTTACTTACCTTCGAATTTTGGTGAGCCTTACGTAGGGTTGGAAAATTACTGTAATTTAAGTTTCATAACATTTCATGTAATTGTAACGTCCTTATAGTTTTTATCATTTAAATTTCATAATGATTAAACTAAAATTTCTATCGAGTACTCGATACACAATACTGGCTAAACTTCTGTACTTTACCTATCATACGATATGAGAAAATTATAAGAAATCTAATTTACAGAAACTTAGTGATGATTTTCGTAACACAACCCTATACGTTGTTAATTTCACCAAATTCGAAGATAAAGGTATTTTGAGATTTTGAGCAACTTCTAGACCTGATTATTTGTTAAAGAAAAGGGGGAAATCGGGGCTAATCTGGGAGTAAAGGTAACATGAGCGAAGATATAAAAAAGGGGCGTTTTTCCATTTATTCGTTATACGAAGGTGATCACATGTAGTTAGTAGAGATTAATTGGTTACTATGGATAGACTACCTCTCTACATCATATAAAAATTGAAATTTTATTATAACGATAAGGGGTTTTTTTTATAGTATTAAAAATATACTAATAAAATTAACTAATTTTTTTATAGCTAATAGTATATAGAACTCAAACTTTTATACTTTCGATTTAAATTAAGGAAACGTTTATTTATTATAATAATTTGCTATTTTCACTGGGGTATCCAATGTACTATGTAGATTTATTTGATAATCTTTTTTACTATAGTACTAATTACATAATATATTAAATTTTACATAGGTTTAAAAACACTTTGGTCACTTATTCTTTCTTATGCGTTTTCATACTGTCTTGTATGATTTTACTAACTCTTTTTTATGGTTTATATGAAATTTCAAAAGTTCTAAAGCAATATTTTTTATATTAATATTTCTAGTCAAAAGATGTAATTTTAATTGCTTCAGGTTTTGTGTTATGTTAAGATAAATATTTAGATTTAGTTTGTTGAAAAGCTTTTTTACTTGCTACTAGTTGATTATTATAAAATAAATTTATTTTTTTATTTTTTTTTTAAGGCTACTTTCTTGACTAATTAGATTTTATTAATTTGTTATTATGGAGTTACTGAAATAGTAATCTTCTAAGGTTTTATAATTACATGATGAGTATACAACAAGTCATATATACAACTTTAGTCATTGTTTAATTTAAGTAGTCTGCTATACAGATGATCAACTATCTGTTGGTTCTATATTATGCTACTATATCTGCAATCTGCCTGTAGATTACCTATTTAAACACTCTGATTATTAACTCCTTCTTTCATTCTAAATTAATATTATTACTATATCTAACCACTTAAACTAGCTAACTTGCTCATAGATTTATTTACTATATAATTTAGATTCTCTCAGAATATATATTATCTAATATATTGTAAGCATACAGAGTTTTAATTAACCTTAGAAGTGATTTTTACTAGAATAGTTATATACTCATTTTACAGATTTATTTGAATTAAACCTTTGTTAATATTTGTACAACTTAGTTTTTGCTATAGCTCTTTATTAGATCTGTTTTCTAAGATTCTAATCAGATATTTTACAAAGTAGATCCTCTTAATCTAGTTAGCTGCTAAGTTAAGTTAGTATTACTACTAATGCAAAATACTAAGCTATATTATATAGCAGACTTACTTGTAATTACTTAATTTATATCTTTTGTATACAGATTTTTTTATTAGATTGAATATTAATTAGCATAACTATTAAAATCTATACTATTTTATCAAACTCAAAATTTCTACTATGCAGATTTTCTGCTTATAAATTCTATTAAGATTTATTTATGCAATATAACTTGAATATTATATCATACTTCTAATATCTAATTAATATTAGTACAATATAATTTACAGAGTTGTAACTCTTAGAAATAAACAGAGTTTACTATAAATTAAATACAAAGATCTATATTTTAAAGATTAGATAAGAAACAATTCACCAGATAATACCTTTTGGAAAAAATAGCATCTATATTATTTTCTACTTAATAATATTCAAACCAACACTTATGATACTCTACTTATTTCAATTACTCAAGCTGAACTCATACAAATAATAAATTCAACACTAAAAAACAAAGCAGTTAGCCTTTTAGAAATCACAAATGAAGTTCTTTAATATTTACTTTTTATAGTTCTCACAACTCTCCTTAGTATTCTAAACAACTGTATAATATAAGAAATTATTTCTAACTAATAGCTACAAGCTAATATTTAGTCAATTCCAAAAAAATAGCATTATAACTACAAGCTCAACTTAACTCATCTTATTATATTAATTAATTATACAAGAAAAATTTTTACTAAGATTCTAACAAATCGATTAACTAATATTTTTGTCTGTAACCAAATACTATTATTCTACAACTATGCTACTTTTCTCTACTAGTTTATACTTTAACTAATTTCACAATTTACTCATATTCTAGAAGATGCTACTACAAACAAAAAAGAAATCTAGATCCTTTTACAAAATATGTCTAAGGCTTTTGACTCAATTCATCTACTAGTACTACACAAAGCTTTAGAGAGAATATATATTTTAGAGAAAGCAATAAATCTGTTAGAATATCTACTCTTTCACTATACTAATAGAGTTATTATAAGCTTAGGACTAACTGCACTATATCTAGTGAAGGATGGTATAGACTAAGAAGAAACAATCTTTCTTCTTCTTTAGAAGGTTTACTATAATCTACTAATCTCTAAAATATATAAAGAATACCTTAGCTATGATAGTAAAATAACTATATTTTTTATAAAAGAAATCTATACTTCTATAATAGTATATATAGATAACTTCCTTTGGATAGCTTCAAACAAAACTATGCTTACTAATATTCTCAATATAGCCTTTTTTTTTTTACAAATTAACTAACATCAAAGTCAATCTTCTAAAATTAATACTAGTAACAAATTCAACAAATACAGATAATTCGATAATCTTTAACAATTAACAACTAATTGCAATAATAAAAGGAATACTATTTAAATATCTAGAAGCCTGGTTCTCAACAAACAAGAAATCTAAAGCATTTCAAAATGAAATTATCATTGAATTAATGATCAACTTGAAGAAATTACAATTTGCACAAATAATAGAAAGACAAGCAATTTATATAATAAACAATATTATCATATTATATCTATTATACTAGCTATACTCTTTATTTCTATCACTAAAACAAATCAATTCTATTAATAAGATATATGTTCAAACAATTAAATATAAAGCAAAACTTGCAAGAGAAGTATCAAATTCCTTTTTATTTAATCCAGATATTTATATACTAACTAACTTAGTACAAACTCAGCTCTTAGCTATAATCTCTACTTTACAAAAAAATCCGAATTGAGCTAATTTTAGTTTATCTTTTTTAAAGATTAGACTCTAACAATTACAAGATTTAGCTTCAACTAATATTTCTATTCTCTCAGAAATACTAATCTTTCTAACTTGTCAAACATATACACAAACTAGCCAAATAATTATAGCTCTCTATACTTTAGAATTCTAAATATCTTATCAAGACAATATTTGGTCCTATCTAAAAAATTTTGAAGAAACCTCAATAAACCAAATTATTATAAATTATTCTAAAGTATCATATCTTAAAAACAAACTAAACAACTACAATATCTTTAGCACTAAGTAATTTCTAAATATAACTAATACTAAATTACTTAAATAGAATAACTTTTATTATCTCTTAGACCGTATTCCAGGCAAATTTGTCTGGAAAATTAAAGAATAAATACTATTTTTTAAATAATTTAATAAAATATTAATGAAATGGGGTCTATATTATATATAAAATATATTATTGAAAACATACTCTATAAACTTTATTAAGGAATTTTCTTATTTTTACTAAGTAGTTTTTGAATAATA